CTCCCATAGGTTGCAGACCATTAAAGCTTATTAATATTTCCACAATGCAGGTGGGTATTGTGTGCTCTCACAATAACACCGATCAGTTAATCTGATTTAAATTGGAGTCTTTACTGCAGCAGCCCTGTCCCTCACACGCTGTTGCCCGTAATCTTCTATTTTAGACTAAGGACATGCCTTGTGTGAGCGTGGATGACAGATAGCAGTCCCTCGCATAGCACAGGTGTGAGTGAATGTAGGGGTGTACTTGTGTGTAGTGTTGTGTGTTTTTATATACAATTGCCATTTGAAAGCAGTGGTTTATTTGTGTATAGTGTTTGCCTTGAATGTAGCGGTGTTCCTGTATGTATTGTTTACTGTAGTTCACAATAGAAAAGGAAGCTGCAGTCATATAAATGGTAATAGGGTGCTCTTGAACATGGGCTGGCATTCCCTCAATGTCATATAGTCAGAAGAAAAAGGTGATCCAGGCACTCCATCAATTCAATCAAGTGTATTGGACATAAAGAGAGATTGCAACATTTTGGCCCACAACGGGGCCTTTGTCAAGCTTTGATGACATTTGAATTCAGTGGTGTGTTTGTGTGTAGTGTTAGTAATGGAATGCTGAGAAGCATGTACAGACACACATGGGCGCAGGGGATCTCCCCTGCCGGTCTATGCAGGGCCGGCACTATCCGAGTGCCGGCCCCGCTGTTTGCCAGCGATCTCCCTCACCAGCCCACTTGGACAGACCTGCGTCTGGGGAGGGCGAGGAGAGGACCCGGCAGAGCTCTATCTTGCAGCTCCGCCGGGTTCCTCTCGCGAGATCCGGAGCGTTGCCATGGCCGCAGGCTAGAGTTCACACACCCACTAGGACCACCAGGGATGGTATTGAAGTTCAAGTGCCTGTCCCCCCCCCATCCCAGGCTAAAGGTAAGACGGGAGGGGGGTATTTAATGCCTGCTTAGTTTTTTTTATTTGTTTATTTACCCCCCTTAGTTTTTTTATTTGTTTATTTACCCCAACACACAACATTTATACACAGCACTTTCACACACAGCACACACAGCACTCTCACACACATCACACTCAGCACTCACACACATCACACTCAGCACTCTCACACTCAGCACTCACACATATCACACACAACACTCACACACACATCATACACAGCACCCACACACACATCACACACAGCATTCTCACACATCACACACAGCACCGTCACACAAATCAATCACATACAGCACCCGCACACACAGCACCCTCACACACACAGCACCCACACACACACACCACCCTTACACACATCACACCTCACAAACATCACACATCACACCTCACACGCAGTATCCATCACACACACATACTGCACCCCTCACATACACACACAGCCCCCCGATACACTGCTTCACACACACACAATATTTCCAAACATATTTATATAATATATATACAGTTGCAAGAAAAAGTATGTGAACCCTTTGGAATGATATGGATTTCTGCACAAATTGGTCATAAAATGTGATCTGATCATCATCTAAGTCACAACAATAGACAATCACAGTCTGCTTAAACTAATAACACACAAAGAATGAAATGTTGCCATGTTTTTATTGAACACACCATGTAAACATTCACAGTGCAGGTGGAAAAAGTATGTGAACCCCTAGACTAATGACATCTCCAAGAGCTAATTGGAGTGAGATGTCAGCCAACTGGAGTCCAATCAATGAGATGAGATTGGAGGTGTTGGTTACAGCTGCCCTGCCCTATAAAAAACACACACCAGTTCTGGGTTTGCTTTTCACAAGAAGTATGGCCTGATGTGAATGATGCCTCGCACAAAAGAGCTCTCAGAAGACCTACGATTAAGAATTGTTGACTTGCATAAAGCTGGAAAGGGTTATAAAAGTATCTCCAAAAGCCTTGCTGTTCATCAGTCCACGGTAAGACAAATTGTCTATCAATGGAGAAAGTTCAGCACTGCTGCTACTCTCCCTAGGAGTGGCCGTCCTGTAAAGATGACTGCAAGAGCACAGCGCAGACTGCTCAATGAGGTGAAGAAGAATCCTAGAATAAACATATTTTTTTTAAAAAAAGAAGAATCCTAGAGTGTCACCTAAAGACTTACAAAAGTCACTGGCAAATGCTTACATCCCTGTTAGCGAATCTACAATACATAAAACATTAAACAAGAATGGATTTCATGGGAGAATACCACAGAGGAAGCCACTGCTGTCCAAACAAAACATTGCTGCACGTCTACAGTTTGCACAAGAGCACCTGGATGTTCCACAGCAGTACTGGCAAAATATTCTGTGGACAGATGAAACCAAAGTTGAGTTGTTTGGAAAAAACACACAACACTATGTGTGGCGAAAAAAAGGCACAGCACACCAACATCAAAACTTCATCCCAACTGTGAAGTATGGTGGTGGGGGCATCATGGTTTGGGGCTGCTTTGCTGCGTCAGGGCCTGGACGGGTTGCTATCATCGAAGGAAAAATGAATTCCCAAGTTTATCAAGACATTTTGCAGGAGAACTTAAGGCCATCTGTCTACCAGCTGAAGCTCAACAGAAGATGGGTGTTGCAACAGGACAATGACCCAAAGCATAGAAGTAAATCAACAACAGAATGGCTTAAACAGAAGAAAATACGCCTTCTGAAGTGGCCCAGTCAGAGTCCTGACCTCAACCCGATTGAGATGCTGTGGCATGACCTCAAGAAAGCGATTCACACCAGACATCCCAAGAATATTGCTGAACTGAAACAGTTCTGTAAAGAGGAATGGTCAAGAATTACTCCTGACCGTTGTGCACGTCTGATCTGCAACTACAGGAAACGTTTGGTTGAAGTTATTGCTGCAAAAGGAGGTTCAACCAGTTATTAAATCCAAGGGTTCACATACTTTTTCCACCTGCACTGTGAATGTTTACATGGTGTGTTCAATAAAAACATGGCAACATTTCATTCTTTGTGTGTTATTAGTTTAAGCAGACTGTGATTGTCTATTGTTGTGACTTAGATGATGATCAGATCACATTTTATGACCAATTTGTGCAGAAATCCATATCATTCCAAAGGGTTCACATACTTTTTCTTGCAACTGTATATATACACACACAGCACCCCTCACACACAATGCACCCCTCACACACATACTTCACCCCTAAACACATTACATTCCAGACACACACTAGATCCTTTACTCAACTCTGGATCATCTACACACATACACACACTAGATCCCTATATACACTCTGAATCCGTTATATACACACACTCACTAGATCTCCTAAACACATTGTGGGTCCTTCAAACACACACTAGACTGGTATACATACATACATATACACACACACACACACTCTGGATCCCCTATACACACACCAGATTCCTTGTTAGCAAACACAACACTACACCCCTAAACACACACACACACGCACACACTATAGCCTGTATGCACACACTTGCTACATCCCCTATACACACACATTCTCTACAGCCCCTAGCCACATATGCATCACATTACACCACAAACACAACACGACTAAAACCGACCTTATTACACAATACCACACCACAATCAGCTCACTCTACACCCACGCAATACCACAAGCAGGCTCCAAACACATGCACAATACTCTTTCCTGGCATTTTTGTCTCCTGGTATCCATTTATAGCGACACCAGAGACAAGTTGCAAGGAAACACAGTGCAGGCATGTTATTAAATTTGCTTGCACTGTGCAGAACAAATACAGGGCTTTTTTCTCATGCTAGAGCTCTTCAGCAGAGCTCTGCGCATGGTCTGCCCTGGAAGAGCATTGAACGAACATGCTCACTTTGAGAGGGGGCGTGTTTGTCATTAGTGATGACAAAACACACCTCCTCTTCCCCGCCCCATTCTTAGTGGGCCGCAGTGATAAAAAAATGCCCAGGCCGAATTTTTTTCCCAGTACAGCCCTGCACAGAATGACACTTATACAGGTACAAATACCGGCACACACAGATCCACAGATACAGAGATACACATACATGCACCCATACATACACATACAGACAGACACATGCATAAACACTTACAGACAAACAGTTACACAGACAGGGTCAGCCTTAAGAGTGTGCAAGCTCTACAGCAGTACATGACGCCACCCCAGCAGGGGCGCCATGCAGTCGACATAGCTTGCAGGGAGGGGCGCTGTGAAGATTTGTCACTCAGGGTGCCTAACGACATACAGAGAACCAGACACACAGACACACATACAAACACACAGATAGATACACAGACAGGCACACAGATACACATACACACAGATAGGTACACATGCAGATACACAGACAAAAAAGACAGGCAGATAGATACACAGACACATATACAGACACATGCAGATACTCAGACACACAGATAGCTACACAGACAGGCAGATACACACACTGATAAACAGATCTACAAACAGACACACAAGCAAAATGCAAATTTTTAAGCCATCCTCCTGTTTTCTACTTTTTGGATGCAGGAGGTTGGCTTCTCTGGGGTCCAGTTGGCTGGCTGAGGCTGTTACGAGTTGAGGCTCTCCCAGTCTACACTGCCTTACTCTCTGTCTTCCTCACACAGTGGCGGATCAGGGGGGGTGGGGTTTGGCAATTCTGGGGAGGTTCTCCCCTGCCGGCTAATGCAGGGTTGGCACTGTCCAAGTGCCAGCCCTGCAATGTGCAGAGATCTCTCTCCTCAGTCCGCAGGCACTGTGCTGGCTGCCGACAGGGATGGAGAAAGAGAGGACGCGGGAGCTCAGCCTGCAGGTCCTTCTCTCGCGAGCATGGAGCGTTGC